GCTCCTGCCAAGGATTCTCATTTTAGTATGAGGAACATCTCTGGATTTTTGCAGTTGCCAGCCTGAATGCACAAGCTCTCCAGGGACCCCTTCCAACCTCAGCATTTCTGTGCTTTTATAGTTCTGATATAGTCAAATGAAACCTCCAGTATATATGTATTGTGTTACTAGCATTGATTCTGTTTATTGTTTTGGGAAATGGTTAGACCCTCAGTGTCCTCTGACACCCTCTTTCTGTCTACTCATTTTCTAATGAGGCACTTGGTGATCACAAGGTGGGCAAGAGAGGGTTGGATACCTGCAGAGAGAGGCATTCAAAGCTATATCATATGCAAAGCTAGATCTTATTCCAAGAAACCAGTAAGAGTTGGTCTCCTCAATACCTTGATGAAGATGGCCCTGTGAGCATGGTGCAGAAGATGTCCAACATCCAGAATTAGAAATATTTAGATTATTTGAGAGAAATACTCTTTAGATGGATTTTTAAACAGGTTGTGTCTGAAAAAACATTCTGCATAGAAAGRTCAAGTACACGGTATGCTTTAGGCAAAAGCTAAAAAAATACTTGTAAGCAAATAAAATCCTCAACTTTCTGGATCACTGAAAGGCCAAGTCAASCCCGGAAGAAGAGCAAAAAGCCCCCAGACAGTCTCCACATAGGCAAATCAACTAGGTTGTGTTAAATTCCCTGCATGTAAAGATTTTGCACGGTGCTGCAGAAGCTTACACACATACACACAGTTGTGTTCAGTAAAACTGTCTAGATGTCAAGTAAGGTCAGTCCCAGCTGGTATTGAACAGACTACTCTGAAACTTCCCTCCAAAGCCCTTGGAAGACTTTTTTGAATCTCAGTGCTCATCTGAATAGGCTTTCCTTTTGACCTCTGTGTGCTATATAAAGTACTTTCCATGTGAAGATACTTTATCTGGCAAAATATTTTATGGAAAAGACCATCTATTATTTTTCCACATGAAGCTTTTGATCATGGATGGATATTTGAAGCCATTAACAGGACCAAGAGGCTAAAGTTTCAGTCTTTTTACTCATTGCCAGTGAAATAAATACTAACTTTGGCAACCAATGGTAAAACAGGAAAGATGCTGTGCAGAATTGCAGACTACTTCCAGGTTTTTATTTTGAAAGGCTTGAGAACCAGGCTGCTATACTGGAGGGATCTCTTTTCCTATTTAACTGTATCATTTGTGATCCAGATGATCTTTGTTTCTGCAGCTGGATTTGGGGAGAAGATACTGGGCAGCCTTAAGCATGGATGTTGCAAAAAATATCTGAGTGCTATAGGCTAGGCTTAAGAACAGCTCCATGGCACCTGCGCGGGTCTGGGCTGTGGTCAGAAAAGCAAAATTGATTCAGTATTTTCAGCTGACTCAAAACTTGGAAGTTAGTCCTCATTAGTGATTTCAGCAGACATTTTGGGGTTGGTTCTGAATTCCTTGTGTAATGGAGCCAGAAATTCAGTTTCACGTCCCCAGCAAAATAAATCTCCACTAAGGACAGACTGTAGCTAGCATAWATTGAGATTTTACCAAAAGTAAAACTTGGCATTAGGAAACATTCAGAGTTAGTGTTGGCAGCTGTAAGAAAAACACTGTGTTGGAAGTGATCATAAATGAGCTCTGGCTGACTGAATTGCTTGAGAATTGCAGTGGTCTGYGAGGCTTTCAGAGACCTCACAACTGAACAGGTACTATCCTGAGCAGATATTGCTGTCTCATCCTCGCTGGCTAGCAAGATCCTACGGGCCAGTTCTTTGCTCCTCTCTGGAGCAAGATTAGACTATGTGTTTATCTGTCTCACTAGAATCTCATGCAAGGAACTGATGTATGAAAGGAAGATGATCACAGAGTGAATTGAAATAAGCACAGTAGTAGCAAATGACACAGTGATAAAGAGGCTAAAAACTTTCCTGAGAGAAAACTGGCAGGTTCTGAGGAGTCACTTTTGCCAACAGTAAATATTCCCACACTGTGCCAGTTTCCTATTTGTGGTAGGTTATCTTCCCAGTGCTCTCTCACAACTCTTCTAAACATATATCAAGGAGGAAAGCAAAGCCAGGGCTCACAGAAAAGCATCATGCTGKTTTTTTGCTTGTGTTTCAGACACTCTGTGGAAGGCAGTGAAAATCTTGGCTCTTTGAAGGATCTGTCAGTGAGACAGTGACCCTCAGAATAGTGGGGAGGAAGAGCAAAGTGTCAATCTGTAGTCCGAAAGATTGCTCAAATTGTCTTAGTGAACCTGAGCTCCTGTTGCCCTTACAGTGAAGGACAGGAAGAAATCTTAAATAACTATGGCTTAATACAAGCAAAGCTTCACCAGCTCCTTAGTAACTTATTCACAGTAACTTGGCTTGGGAAATACTGCCTAAATATGTGCATCTAGTAGAAAGCTGCAAAAAAACAGAAGTCCAAAACTTGTGCTCTGCCAGTTGCAGGACCTTCCCCATCTTTCTTATCCAATATGGTTCTGTTGCAAAGGCTTGTTTGCTTGTTGTACCTCAAGTTCCTCATACCTWCTTGGTGATTTTTGGCGGGAACACTGCATCCCCTCTCATCCACTACATTATCAGGCCCTTTGCAATGGACCTGAATACTCATTTGCCACTACAACTTCCATAAGAGGTGCTTGGTCATTGATATTCAAGTGTAGTCAAGACCTGCAAAAACTATTTCAAGAGACTGTAGACACCAAAACTGCATCGGGTAATTCCTCAGTTTATTAATATATGAGTGACAGGAGAGATCTGTTGTTTCCCTGCAAGGTCAAAGCTGACAGTAAGTCATGATGATCCCTTCAATTCTCAAGGTGTGTGCACATGGCCAGCATGTATTTTAGCCATCTCTTGGCCTTGTTTACTTGTGCATACTTTTTGTCTCACCTGAACCAACCATCCCACTGGGACACTTGCATGAAGCTCTGGACCCCAGACTTCAGGTCTGGAAGGATGTTTAGGATGAAGGACCATGTGTTTTTCTATAAGTTTTTTTAGGAACATGTGAGTGAGTTACACCAGTAATGACTTGTCTGGCAGCTCCAGTGATTCACTCTCCCTCAGCTGTATTCCTTGCTAATCCCCTCTATTTTGCAGAAAAAAAAAGAGGTACCTTAAAGAAAATATTACCCTTTTCTTCAAAAGTCTATGAAAATACCCATTTCCYCTCATTTACTCTAATCTGGGCTCATATGTTTTCATTACAAACATTGCCTGCCTAGTTATCAGTGAGAGTAAATCTTTCAGTGTAAATTTCCAAWAATAGAAATTCTCTAATGTAAGACTTACATAGAATATTAAGTGGCTAATAGCTATCTCTTGATACTTGCAGAATTAAAATATAAGTTTATAGTAATTTATTGTATGTAAATCATCCTGTTAAACTTCTGTAAAGAGGGTGCAATGCTATAGTGAGTAATGTGCTGATTTTGCCCTAATTGAAACKGGGAATTTCTCGATCAACAGTGCTGTCATTCCTGACAGGAACAATGCAATAAACAAGCACTACAGATGTGATTGCCATTTATGTTACTTTTTAGTATAGATATGGTAATAGAAATATCAGGGTTGCAGTAGCTGTATTACTTTAAGAATATAGGCAAGTCAAGTTTTGCCAGCAGAAATAATGCCTTTTGCAGTAGGCCAGCTGGTGTTTCTGCACTTTCCAAACTCTCAGACACAAAAAACTATCAGACTGTCCCAAAATGTCTTGCATGCACCAAAGCTTGTCTGTCTCTACTGGGCCATTTAATATATTAGATACAGACTTTACAAAACAGTAGTAACCCATCCCAACCCAGACTTCCAGTCATAATCAGAATTTCTATTCCTTTTTAGCAGACCTATAAAATTAGAACCAGACTCAAGGAAAACAAAAAGTGTTAGTGTTCTTTTTGTCAGGTTAAAAATGAAACCCACATCCAGCTATAGCATAGGTTATTCTGCTGCCAAATGGGAGCAAAATATTTTAAAAGCATGCCGTGTGTATTTGATTTATAATGATCCACTCACATGATTTTTTACACTTCATGAGATTYATATAAAAACAGTGACATAATAAGAAAGTGTAATATTTTTCTTGTTCTTTTGCCCAGCCCATAAAATATTCACTTGCTTTAAATAATCTACAGGAATGTATGGTTACAAAGAATAGACCAATGGGAGTTTGCCTGGGAGAGGATAGAATGCAAAGCTGAGAAGGAATTGGCCAGAACTGAATATTAAATAACTGTTTTTCTTTCCAACATATAATCTTGTACATATATGCTACAACTGAATGAAATTTTTAACAAAAATTCTGTTCTGTGAAATCGAAAACATATAGACCCAAGAAGAAGGACTGTCACACGTGAGGTTACATTCATACGCAGTTAAGTGAAGATTTTAGTTCTAATGAGTTGCAGAGAGAATAGGGGAGCTGGGAAAAGGAGTATCCTTAAGTTCAATCCTCACCCTGCAGTGACTTGTGTTTTCAAAGTGTGTCTACACTAGTGTTGTCATTTTATTCTTGTTTCACTGAACTCAGTTATGTATTAAAATATTTCTAAGTTGATTAGCTGGTATGGACTGTACAGTACATATAACTGAAGTCTAATGTTCAGTAGAGTCATGAGGCACGCCAGATTAAAATCATAAAGCAGTTATGGATGTGACTTTTCCATTAACTAACTTAATCAGTTTTGACTTAATMTTTTGCAATCACTTTCAGTTTGTTTAGCTTATAATTCTTGTTGCAATTTTATTAGCATGGTTAATATTAGCGTCAAAGATTGTTTTGCAGATGATAAATACTCTGAAATCTCTGAGAGAATTGTAGATACAGATGATACATTCCTAAGATCTGCTCTAATTTTGCAGGCTATACAAAAGTTTATGATCTGCTGCGAATGTGCATGACTGTTGAAATCACTGCTCTATAGCAGGCCGGTACTCATCCCAAGCTTCTGGACTGGTGCCAGCTGAAGGGTGACCACACTTAAGTACTTGTATACCTACTTGTTTTACAAGCACTGCTGCAGAGATCTCAAAAAATTGTAAGCACTTTCCAAAATACCATTCACAACTATGCCAAAGAGACTACAATGTTATTGTCTTACTATGTGAGATACTAAACCGCAGCTTCATAGTGTGACTAAATGGCTTGGAAATGTTCTTCTTTGAGGAGTGCTTAGAGATGAACTTGGCATTCGTGCAGGGTGGTTGCTTTCATCTGTCATGTGGTAGACTACCAGCCAAAACTTCTTCATTTATTCAAGYACTCACAATAGCAGAAATGCTCTGCTACAGAATTTAGCCCTATCCCTTGCTGGGTAGGTATCTGCTGCTTTGCTCTATAGTTTAGCAATATTTGACTTTAACATGATAACATATTTGATGACCTTTAATAGTTGTTTTTTGACATTGATAATTTAATCTAATTCTCCATTACTGAAAATAGAGCCAATGAAATCTGAAGTGATCCTCCAGAAATTTACAACTTCTAATTTAACATAAGCAATGCAAATCTGAAGGTAAGAAAAAGAAAACCCTCTGTAGCTGGTATAAATGAGAGTGCTGAGGCTCTGGCGGTTCTCATAGGAACTACTGCTGTTTTGTTACAATGAGATTGTATTAAGAGTATATCCTCGAATTTTGACTTAGGAGACTGAACTCATTTTTAAGAGAGACAGTGTGATCCACAGCTTCTTCCTCCCTGMGGCTTGAGGATAAAGTGTAATAACACGTTACTCAAACACATCCTGCAAAATTCACTGTGAATCTTTTTTTTTTTTTTTTAGTTCAAATTCCATGACAACTTCAACTGATCTATACCAGGGCTGTTATGTTCCTGTTATTCTACCTCTCCTCTCACCATGGTATATGAACTTGCATATGGCAGTTGCGTAGCTGCTTGGGCCAGGTTTTCACAATGCCAGCACAAGGGAGGGCTGGAAGCAGGTAGTCAAGGCCAGAGTACTCCAGAAACACAATATGTGCAATTTTTAGCAGCACCAAGTGTATAGCATTTAAACGTGAAGAGCAATTCTGCAATACTCTTTTCTTTTAAATAAAAGCATTTCTTACCTGCTGTCCAGTTTAATATGAAGACCCGTAAGTATTATTACAAAATAGAGTCTTAGGCATTGTTCAGACACTTACTCCTGGGTAAACCAGTATGTTTTCACCAGCTTCCAAGAATGAAGGTGAAATAGGGTTCAGGGAGACATGAGGAACCTAAAATCCAGAAATGCTGAAGCTCCTGTCTTAAGATGTTAACACCTGTTAGCATCTAAAACACCCAAGCTAAAATATTTTAGGTTTTATACTTCCTAGAGTGCATTTTCAGAAGTTACAAGATAAATCCTTTTGTAAGAAACCACACGGTCTACTCTATAAATACTACAAACTTGTGCTACTATCAAATTCATTAAAATACTCATCAGTCCCTTCCTGGCATTTTCTTTCCTTTCCTTTAAGACACCTGAAACCACTTGGTCAATAGCCAGAAGGGGGATTAGAGATGCCTCCCTCTATACTGAAAAAACAGTAATTTTCTGACTACTAGTATAGTAGAAATCACAGCCCTTCGTTTCTAGAGGATATAGAAGTGATGTACCCAGATAAACATATAACACCAATGGGATTCACCTAATTTCCTGAACCTAAAAAGCTTGTGCTTGTTACACTGCCTCCCCTCTTAGCCTCCCAAGGGCTCCTCACCCCAGCTTTTGGCAGCTGCCTKTGGCAGGTAGACAGTAGAATCAGCTTCATTTAATGCTTTAGTGCTTTTGTGTAAGAAAAAGGTTCAATCTTTTCTGAAAACCTTCTGGGTAATTTTCCTCTTATATTATTCGTTTCAGGTAAATAATTCTCATTCGAAGCACATTCTTGTATGTGGCATCTGTATTTCTTGCTCTTTCAAAGTATAATTGCCTCTGTCATGCAACCCCAAGTGTTTCTGACCACATTGGCTGCTCAGATTTGTAGTGCAGGAGCTTTGAAAAACTCTCATTACCATAGAAGTAAGCATAGCCAAGTTTTTAGCTTATTTTCTATTTCTTTTGATCTTCTTCTGATTTATTGCCAGGGATTTGMAAAAAAGAAAACTCTGATATAATTTAGCCCCTTCTTATTAAATGGTTTTCACTAGGAAAATGAAGCATCAAACRTTGTAGTTTCTATAAAACCCTAGTGATTCAATAAAGTGGTTTTATTTCATCACTTGATCTTGTGTACCTCTGGAATTGTCTATTTGCCATAGTTAATAGTTTCCATTTGCACCYACTCATTACTGCATACGCATTTCACCAAGCAAGTTAATGGGAATTAATGGTAATCTGCTTCAGTAACAACTAGTTAATCATCAAGAAACTGCACATTTAACTCCCTGATAGTGAAAAACATCTCCAAGACTCCCAGAAGGAATATGATAAGATCTTGCAAGTGACCTAGATGTCTACAAATTACACATACAGGGCCTAATACCTGAAACTGAGAATCYGGAGCCTGTATTTCTTAGGATATTTCTTGAGATTGACAGTCACCAGCCTTTCCATATGTTGGAATGAACTGAAAAGAGCTCACCGTTTCCATTGGAAATGTGGCTGTCAGAATACTGTGGTGCTAGTAACACCTTTTGCAGACCATTGCAGGCTGATGGCTAGAGCTTGTGGTAGGTACTGATGCTGTTTCCTTCTCATAGGTTTCTAAGAGCGTGATTGTACAGCTGATTCCAGGCCCAGAAAGTGTTTAAGTAAAAGCCTGAATMAGAAACCAAGTAGTAAAATGCACAGCTGGGAATGTGGGATGATTTTAATCCTTTTCTCCAAACTGTTTTTGCATTTGGCGAAATGGAGGCTAACAGACTAGTAATTCCCTTCTTTGACCCAAGTTTCATAGACACTTAGCAGTGTGGTCTGCTGGCTTCCCTGTGTCTTGCCCAGGTGCTCTGTCTTGCATTCCCACTCCTTGATCCTCCTTATTGCCCAGCTCAAGCCACTTGTGCAAATGGCTAAGCAGGGGGGTTGTTCACATTTCGGGCAGTCCTATGATAACTATAATTAAAACTCTGATCAATTYGATGTCAGCTCTGGAAATCAGGTAGGGCCAAAGGAGATGCCGCTGTTAAATAGGATGTTATGCCCATCCTCAAATGACATTCAGGACCAATCCAAAGGAGTCAATGACGTTATTTTAGTAACTTAAGCAGAAGGAATRTCTCAGCACATAATCAGGCATACTACATTAACAAATAAAGTACAGCATTCTAGTTTAAAAAACAGGTTGAGATTTCATACAGACTGTTACGACCAACAGACCAATATGACCATGGAAGAGTACTGGGCTTTGAAAATGTGCTTATCATTAATCACTAAATATCAATGTTATAAAAGTTAAATATGTGAAGTATCAAGCAAGGATATCGCTGGGCTTATGGAAAATAGGATAAATACTATCGAAACAAGAACAATACATAAAATCTGCTTGTGAACTTCAGCAAATGAAAATTTTTGTGTCACTGTGAACCATATTAAAGATAATTGTTATCTCCAATATTATGTTCACTCCATTGACCAGAAGAATTTTCATTTTGGTAGCTGTTGTGGCAAACCTCATGCACCCCTAGAAACACATGCAGTGTGGAGCCCTCTAAAATACCAAAGCATAAATCAACTTGAAAGATTACAATTTAATGTTCCATCTTCTGCATGGTTACCAATACACGGTAACAAACATGTATTCTGTTTTTAAAAAAAAAATACATTTTAAATTAAGTTTCTGATCTGCTTTATAACRTTACCCTGAACCGCTGTGGTCACAAGTCAGCATGGAGCACATCAGAAGATGCTGCCACAGAGGGGTCGATAAGCAGAGGGGCTCTCACTCCTTTTAAATTTGCCACCACCAAAGGCAGTATATAGCTAATCACGGTAGGAATGTGGCCAAGGGACCATATTCATTTCTGATTTGTCCTTCTGTATTTGGAGGAACTATCTCAGAGCAGGCAGTAGAGACTACCCAGTCTCTATCAGATTTTCATTAGACTCTCTATAGGCAGTAGTGTGAGTTGCTGTAAAAGTGGTATGTGTAACATAGGAGTCAGTCACCCCAGTACCTGAGTGTGGTGCTTTGCACATCCAAGTGTGTCGTGTCAGACTTGAACAGGGGTGGCAGGAGATGGAGGCAGAACTGTGATGATGCTGGTCTTCTGGTGCTCCATCTAGGGGCATCCAGGGCTCCACTCTCTGTGGTCTTCTCTGCCTGCCCATCGCTTCTGCCTTGTTCTTTGATTGACACTTTTTACCTGTGCCTACCTTCTCAATCTGATCATGATTCTTGATCCAACACTGATGTTAACCCRCTTGTATTGCAATGCTAGGGCCGTTCTCATAGGTCATAAAATAATGAAAAGTCATTTCGCAGTCAGAAACTTTTTTACTTGYGTTGTTAGAGTCCAGCCTATTTAAATTGTTGTCATTGGAAAAGACTCYCATGGAAGAGGAAATAAAAAGGAGCGCTGGATTTTATGTAGCATGTTAGCCGTTCCTGTGGTTAAAGTTGGCTGGAACAAGAAAGATGAGAAACATAAAGACTATATAAGATTTAGTGTGGGAAATGATTCTTACTCATTTACTCAAATATAGTAGTGTATGGCACAGTCTTTGTGGTTAACTGAAGAAAAAAATAATGTGTGAAATACTTTACAGATGGCTTTTTCTTAATTGGGAGGAGACATGGGAACAAGAGACATTTTAAACAGCTCTTTTGGCATGTAATAACAAATGTTCACAAAGATCAGTATCTCAATATCTCACCCGCAGCTACAGCTAAAACCCAAAATAATGCTGTGAGTACTTCACAGAGGAAAAGTAGATATCTCACTGGTAACTTCACCTGCTATTGATTTTGCACATGCAGTGTTGATCTCTAGTAGTCAATCAGTAGTGCCATTGTGCTATTTGCAGCAAATGATGTGTATTTTAAAACTATTTATGAATCGGCAGTGAGTAAGGAAAAGTCCTTTGCCTGCAATTTCTCGCCTCCCTATAGATGCAGCAGAAGTCCATGAGATAAATAAGAAGAATATAGTCACTTACAACACTGGTATCTTTACACTACACTATAGAAACTTTACATTACACTGCAAAACCATGTGGAGACATGCGTATGTATCTACTGATTAAGCAGTTGATCAGGGCCTATGTTTTATCTGCTCATGAATCCTTTTTACAGTTTTGAACCACTACGGTTTTCATTTGTTATTCTGAAGAAGGTACACACAATTACAAGCATTTTCCTCTGATACAGCTGTCCAATTTTTGCTTCAATTCAGTTGCCTGTCATTGCTGATCAGGTACAAATATGTAGCTGACAGTGTAATTGCATATTATTTATGTGTCATAAGCCTGTTCCATTACCTCTGTCACACCAGAATGGTTCTGGCAAGGCTCAGACAGTGTGATAAGGCTACTTATTACCAGAGGCAAATTCTTTGGACCCTCTTTTTCATCTGTTTGGTTTTCATGTAATCTCAGTGACATATGACTGCAACACTTCCATTCTGATCTGGTAGGAGATTACACCCGCTTAAGTTATTGCAATAGAAATGCCTTATCATTATTACGTCTTCAGATAGTTCTTCTTTGGGTGAGAAAGACTACAACTGATACATATTTAACTTCTCTGTAAATGGATGACTTTCCAGACCATTTCAGCATGAGAAATGCTGTACCAGTGTTCCTCACTACATGTAAATAAGACTAAGTGTCCAAATCTGTGTGCCTTTTTTATATAATTAAATTGCTAGGTTTCGGATACTTAGAGAGCCTCAGTCTCGTTTTCCAAGTTGACAGAATAGCTAAGGTATAATAGACTGTTTACTTTCTTATTTCTTTATGGCAGAAGATTCTCTGTAGTCGTGTTGTTCAACTGGTGACCATTGGTGGTTCGGAGGATATCAAAACATGCCATACCTTCATAAAAGCAGTGTTTCTGACTCTAATATGGTCATTTTGTATGAAACTAGAAAGGATGTGCTAATACAAACAGCTAAGCTTCCACAACTGCCAAACAATATGATGATACAAGGTAGCGCATGGATACTGTTCCCACAAAGACCAGAGAGGTTTTGATTAAAAAAAAATAAGGAAAATAGAAAAAAAAATCAAGAAAAAGGTTGCTGGTGAGGTCCCAGAGCAGCWTTCCTTTGTGCTTATTCTCTTTCATTTCCTGTCCAACAAAAACACACACAAGAGTGGAGCTGCACACACAAATAGACATTCACACACACACATTCACATACACTTAAAGTTTAAAAAGATGTCCACGCACAAAGAAAACGAGATTATCAAAACAAATAAAGTCTAATACTGCTTTTTTTTTGGTGTTGTTTCATTCTCAGAAGTGTCAGCTACAGCATGTCCCTCCAGAAAGAATCCACAATGAAAGAAACAACCCACAGTTGCTTCTTACTGATTATCCTTCTAATTGTAAGTATGAGAAAAATGAACTGCTCATGACTCCCGCCAAATTTAAACCTGATGTTCAGAAAAATAAGTACTGAGTTATATTTCCCGTACATCGTAAGTCATGGAATTTATTGTTGGTAAATATTGGGACAAAGTTAGTAAAGTTCCAAAGTAAGATATTTCATAAAAGCTGTAACTTGTAATCAGTGTTTCTTGGTGAGACAGCATTGGAAGCCCAGCAAGGTAATGGATATGCTTTTGCTTTCCATGTTTTACAGACTACAAAGTATCACTGACAAGGAAACTTATAGTTCTGAAAACTTGCATGACATTATTGTGTGAGATGGACTGATCTAATTAATTGTGGATTTTCCCTGTTTACAGTTATTCTGCTCTTAGTAATGTAATCCAAAGGGAAAAGAACAGTATGAAGATTAGTTACACACTTCAGACTATTTCAACTGTTGAATCTCAATATTTCTGTTATTCCAGTATGTACAATATGACTGAATATCTGCTGTACTAAAATTGTAACAAATTAGTTTCTGTCTGACTGAATGCTGTAAATGGAACGCTTTCCCCGGTCTTTGCTTGATAAACTTCAAGCAATTTGTAATTATCAGCCACAGTTACAGAATAGTAAGTGTGTATCTCAGTGCTGCTACTGGGGCTGARTACTCTCTGCCAAGGTGCTGTCTGACTTACTTGAATGCCTGGTGCCACCTAATTCCCCATCCACCTTCACGTTCACAGAATCACAGAATCATTAAGGTTGGAAGGGGCCTCTAGAGATCATCTAGTCCAACACCCTGCTCCAGCAGGGACACCCAGAGCACGGGGCACAGGGCGGCATCCAGGCGGGTTTGGAAGATCTCCAGACAAGGAGACTCCACAGCCTCCCTAGGCAGCCTGTGCCAGGGCTCTGTCACCCTCACAGGAAAGAAGTTCAGTGAAGGAGTTCTACTCCCATGTCTCTTACTGAACGTTTTATCCTATATCCCAGTTACATGATGTCCTTAACTCCCCTCTCCACCTTCTCCAGCCTTAGACTCATCACCAAGTCTCTTTGGTCTCTTCTGATAGAAGCCCTCTCACATGTTTCATTTTTGCCTAGAATAGATAGCACTGTTCTGTGCTTATAAGGCCATAATAACTCTGCTTCGTCAAACAAAAGCTATTTAAAAGCTATTAACAGAAGCCATTAGTTCTGGAGTACCAGTTGCCCCAGAACTCATTTATGAGATATAAATTATATAATATAAATATAGGATGTAATTTCTTACTGCCTGCCTCCTTGATGACTTCCCTTCTTTTGAATGCCTGCTAATCTGGTTTGCCACCTCYACCAGGTATTCCCTTGCTTTCCAGATAAAGTGAATTCCATTAGAAATTGTAAAAATTCCTCTCAAGCAATATTTCTTATTTCACTTTATTCCTGACATTTTCAATTTCTCAATAAGCATGTAGACCCATACAATCTCACTGAGGATGTGATCTTACTCAGTAAAAAAGCAGATTTTATAATATAGTCCAATTTTATCATCCTGGGCCAACCACAAAGTGCTAGTAAAGACAAAATGAATTCTGTAGATRAAGGTCACACCTTTTTTCAATTAGATCCATTAGACCAAAATTGTATTTTAAAATGGATTCATTTTGAGACAGAAACCAAATGCACGTGTTCATTAAGTCCCAATCTGTGTAATCGTTACCAAGCCTAAACCACTAAACCACTATGAACTCTTTTATGTCGTGCCAGATGAGCTGAAAGGCTCATGAACTTTGGAATAATTTCCGTTACACAAAGTGGTATATTTACACAATTACAAAAGTTTGAATCTCCACAAGCCAATTAGTAAAGCATTTGCCACTGATTGAGGGTACTGCTTATGAGATGTCCATCTAATCACTGCTGCTCACAGCTGTGAGCAGGATAGAGACCCAGGAGATGGCAGCCCATCTATGCACCCAGCAGGCTCCTGACACCATCCCAGATCAAAAGCTTAACCATGACTCTCTAAAAGCCACCTCTGCACAGGGGATGTGAGGCACACAGTGGATGAAATTAATCAAGTCATAAGCTTTTCCCTACCTAGAAAACAGCTCATCCAGCAACTAGTCCAAAGCAGATCTCATCTGTCATTGGGCCAGAAGGAATATCACAGATTTGTCATGGTCTCCCTTGACTTCATGAAGCACCTTCTTCCCTTCTTACTTTGCCTGAAGTCCAGAGGCTCCTCCAGCCCCTCAGGACATGTCCATCTAAGAGTCTGGTTGATCAGCTGTGCTGAAGCTCCTGGCTTCATCTGCCAGGATCATCAGATTATTGACCTTCTGTGGTATGCAGGGACACCCTTAACCTCATTGCCCTCTCACCTCATATCTGCAAGGACAGATCCTCACTGTCTGTGGTGCTGTGTTTCATAGGGATATTCCAAAGTGTGCATTTGCTGCCTGCTGTATGAAAGTGGACTTGCAAGTTCAAGAGCTCTTCTCACACAAAAAAAATTGTGAAAGAAAATATGTTATTGATGCATTAGAGTTGGTGAGATTTTCTTCAGAAAGAAACTGGTCATGGATTTCCATCAGGGAAAGGAATGGCAACTTTTAAAAGTTAGCATACAAGATTCAGGTGTGATCAGAACTTCTATCTCCATCTTTGTTTTTAAGAAAAATATTGCTATGCAGATAATTACCCTAAAAAGGACTCTTAAAAGAAGATTATAATTAGAGCTGCAGTCAAAAGCTATGAAGCCTCTTACAATCTTCCTTTAAAACCACATTTTCCATCAGATTATCCTGGGAGTAAAGCTTCCTTGTGTGCAAAAATACTGCAGCACTGGAAATGAACTATATGAGATTCATGACTTGTTTTTAATTAAATGCCTTGTCTGCATCTGCTCGTGATAATGTCTTGCTTGTTTAAACAGCTGCCAAAGTGTGAAATTTAAGTTGTGTGGAATCTCAGTATGAGATAACTGTCCATCCTGCTTCAACAACAATTGAGTATGGAAAGATTTTTAGATTTAATGGTTAAACAAAACATGCTGAGTTGAGGTATTTCCCCAAAGAAATTGTCTCCTCTTATTAAGCACATTTGTGATGAATAAGAAATTATTATTTTTACTGATTACCACGCCCTAATGACCTTCTGAAAGCATCAGAGTGTTTTTGTGGGGTTTTGGGGTTTTTTTGTTTGTTTTTTGTTTTTTCCACTATCCTAATGCTAGCTGTGAAAATCAGTGCAAAAACAATTAAGGCAAGAGAGGGCTCTGCAGTTGAGCTGAGTCATGTTGAGATCTCACTCAAGGATCTCAAGGATATTATGCTTTGATGGGCAGGAGATAGTGACCCACAATGTGTTGACTACAGCAGGTTTAAAGCAAACGTTCAAAGTGTGTTTTTGAGCTTTCAAATCAATAACAAATAGTTGCAGCATCCAAATTTGAAATATATTTTGACTGAGCTCAACAATAAGTATTGCAAAGCATGAAAGCAGGGGGAAAAAATGGAAAGCAAGCCAGCTACAGACAATACTTTCTTGAATGTCACATATCATTAACAGTTTGTACATTTTAAAATTCTTCATCATAAAAGTATTTGGGGATACTTGTTCATCGTGTCTATATTTTATGAAACAACTGAATTTTATGTGTGCTTTATCTGGATTATGTCTTTCAGAAATGGGGAAAATCTTCCATGGGTTAAAAAGAAGTATCTGTCTTACAGAACTGTTGCACTAATTGATCATTTCTAATATAGATTAATAACAAATCCAAATTCTTTCTATAGATTGCTTCATCAGTTTTAGGTATAAAGGGATCTTCAGCTTTCCAAGCATTTATTTCTCTTTGCTATGATAATTCATCTTATAGCAGTCATTTGTCACGTGGTGGCTTGGTGGTCGTATGTATGACGTCATTTACTTGAACTTTTAGGAGTGACATCATATGTACGGCTGCTAAACTGCTGCATGGGACATCACTTAAACAGTTTTCTTCAGAAGAAATGACACAAATCATTATTAGGCTATTCAATACATCCTGACTATTCAGTTGTAATTTATTTATTTCTCTTTAATAAAGAATATTTTACATGAATGAGGCATTCTACTTTATTTTATCAACAGTGTTTGTTCTTCTACCTGAAATAGCTGATGGAATAATGGGAAGGGCTTTTATCTTGTAGTGGTTGACTATGAGAATTTAGAATTTGTTCAATTCTCCAGGTACTAAGCAGGTGAAGAAAATCTTGGCTTTTTCATGAAAACTTTATTCCCCAGATATCTAGGTGAGATCATCAAAATGTAATAAAAGTTGATTCCTACTCATTTTTTCCTCTTGTATGTGTGGCACAGGGACATTCCCTCACATGAACATGCTATGCATTAAGCTTTCCTCCCTATGCRTTCATGTCCAGGATTCTTCTACTTCTGATAAGAAAATGACACAGATATTTCTTTTTGCCCRATTTTCCCAGTAAGGACCTGAAGAAAAATAAAATTAATAATAATATGTAATGTCACGAACAATAGTAAGATTTTTGGCAGATTAAGTCACAAATAGATGAAGTTTGACCTTAAGCCCATTGAAATGAGTGGGAAGACTGCCATTAGCCGTAGGAGATTAGGTTTTAGGCTCCATAAATTAAAGTGGTGGTGGACGTTATTCTCCTCTGCACTTTAGAAACAATTGATACTGCAAATAGAGATATGACTGCTTCAAACTCCAGCAAGCATCACATTTACTTTAGTTAGTTAAATTGCCCATCAGATTTTAAGATAAAGAAGACTATTATTCAGACTTCCACAGGCCAGCTTTTCAAATACAGAAAAGAGTAATAGATAAAAAATGGAGTACATTCAAGAGCATATCTATATGAACAATACTAGTAAGACACGTATGTACAGAACTTAATTTGCCTTTGCACACAAGATATTTGATTACATCAAAAGTGCATGGAAATATTCGTGTATGACCAACTTTAAAAATCCAATTTGTTGTGTTTTTTTCCAAAAGTAATTTCCATAGAGCTTTGGACACAGTCTCCTCTGTCCACAGTGACACAATCTCCTCTGTCTTTTTAATCTCTATGACTGAATTCCTGATCAAAATATGAGCAATAGAAGTTTTGCTAGCAGGTTGAATAAGGCTAGCATTGCCTTCCTCAGAGGTCATATAATCATCTGCATTATGTGGTTGAGTAGTTTAAATAATTCTGTGCAAAATATAAAATCCACCACCATATTAAGCAGCTGCCACCAAATATTAAAATATTCTTCTCAATCTATACCCAGTGAGAGATGACTTCCTCTGGAATTGCATTAGCCTCTTACTTAGAGTGAGTCATGGAACTAGCTTTTAAGAGTAAGGTGTCTTCACCTCAATTTAGGGTGAATTGTATTACACCCTAAGAAATATCGTCCCCAGTAACAAGCTGTTACATCTTCACCAATTAAAAGATAGAATTAGAACATTTATTTTCTGCTGTTTCTTTGATGTCAGATTATGATATGTTTCCATACTGCGCTATCATGTGGGAATGCATTGTCATTAAAACAAAAGAAAAATCTTTATAGAAGAGAATCCAACAATCAGCAAAAGGGAAGGATGTTCTGAAGTGCAATGATAAAAAATTCTTCACTATTCTCTACAGTCTTAAAATAGCACGCAGGTGAAAATGAAAACATCAGTATCAGAGGAGATTAGATTATATTAAATTCCAGAACACATCAGTTAAATTTAAAAGTATACAAAGATTAGATAATGTCATTTGGCAGAGAAGTAAAATGACAAAGTGATTACATTATTTTGTCTAACTCAAATGTATGGTCTTTGTTACGTATTTTACCAAGATTATTAGTATTAGTTGGGCTAATAAAAAAGAAAGTAAAGTATTAATGGAATTGCTTTTAGGATTGGATAAAGAAAAAGAAAGCACAAAGTTGACAAACAAGATGATGTTTGTGCTTTGAAACCTGTCATGTTTTCAGTTTGAATAACTGTATATTCTTATTCGGTGCTAATACAAATCTCAAATTTGAATGTGCTGTGAAGATGATCAATGTAATCTGAAGCATACCTTAGATTGCCGTTTCACATTGTGAAAATATTGCAAAAACAACTTTAATAAGTCTGTTTACATGACTGTTGTCTAGGGAAATCAAGGCCTTGTATAAGAGAGATTCACAAGAACATCAAACCTTTCAAACCATAGCGGCTCTGCTTTTGGTTGTGGAAGCAGAGGGACTAATCCTTTCCTATCAGCCTCATGTGGAGAAATGTCCTGAGACAGGATTAAGGCAGAACAGAATTGAGCTGAAGTTTCCCTGGCTCACAGACCTGGGCTGTGCAGCAGAGAGAAGCACCTAGGCCTGGGGAAAGGTCAACTCTCCTCTAACTGATGTATCTCCCTGAGATTTTGCCTAATAGAGGCAATCACCCTTCTACACGCCCTGCAGGGAACTCTGAATGGAAAAGGTCAGAAGATGCCTGTTGATTGAAGGGGGCTTTTTCATTCAGGCTCTCAAATTTAGGAACACTTCGCTAAATTACCTAAGAGCTAAGGTCAGACATAAGGTTAAACTCTTTGCCTTGTGTTTCTATTACCGTATCAGTTGAAGGAGCTCAAAGCAGGTCATTTAAAATACGTGTGTTAATAAAGGTATATGTCTGGGTAAGAGACAACTAGAGAAAAATCAGTATCAGTATGATACTGTTACCTATCAGTAAGAGGAAATAGATGGGCGTAACTTTGATAACATTTTTTGCAGAGCAATGTGCCAGATTAGAAGACTTCAAAGACTTCAAAGACTTTAAAACAGATTGCTAAAACCTCTAAACCTCTCATTTATAGTGAGGTAAACTGGTAAAAAATCAGTGTTTCCATTGCAAGCGGTAAAAGGTCAATCATAATGATAAACAGATGTGCCACATAATGCATAATAGAGATTTCTGATTCTCACTTTGTTTATACTTCTGCTTTGTTCACTTGTACTAACAGTTTTTCCTTTCTGTACAGAGAATGGTTCCAAGTCTTACTTCTACTGTAAATTATACTGATCCTACATTAGAGCCTGTAGTAACTGAAAATTCAGTCATACGACAGAAGATAATAGATTCGCAGTTCAAATGCTATGAGAGGATGAACAGAGCTCCTCCATATAGGAAAAAAGGTAAAAAGAAAAAAAAAAGAAAAACACCTCTGTTTGTATATTGCTATGTTTTCTTATATTTATTACAAGGGAAACATTTTCTTCCATTCTACCATTCTACCATGTCTAACATTCTACCATTAATATATGGTCTTGGTATTCCAACTTCCACTTCCTTCCAACAAATAGCAGTCAAATTCACATTAAGCATCCTCTTACTGATGACAGAAAGAAAGAGTCCAGAGCGAGCAGAGGGAATAAACTGCTTTTCCTTCCTCCCAGTGCAGATGCTACCAGCATCTCACAGATGAAGTACCTTTCTGGCTCAGTGTTTTGTAACTTGAATATCCTTAGGGAATATGATTGTCCAGGACTGTCAGATCGGTACCTTTCACTAGGCTCACACAAAGACGTAATTGTGATGAATGGTCTCTTGAACATAAGTGTCATTTTTGTTTGCTACTGTCACCATTTCATTTTGTCATTTGTGTATTGACTGATACCTATACAGGTGGTCTATGTATTCCACAGTCAATGGTAATACTAGTAAAAGAAGTTTATAAACCACTAAGGTTGTATTTTTACTGAATATGAGGCACATATTAGGAATAATAAGGAGAGAAATAGCAAATGACAGTGAGGTCACAATGGCATGATATAAATCAAGAAGGATTCCTAGCTGAGACTGTGTGTTCTGTTCTGGTCACTTTTCCATACAAAAAATATGGGAACAGTTATGAGTAACTAGAGAAAAAATGTTGCAGGCATTGTGAGAATTTATGCAAGCAAGGAACAGAAAGACCGAGGCAACAGTTTAAAGGGAAGATATATTAAGGACACATGATAAATGTACCCAACATAATGAATGGGGCGGAGAAAACGTGTGTTTGATTCCTTTTTTTCATGATACAAGAGAAAGACTTTTCTCTAATTCTTTTCCTGAAAGATTTTGCTGATTTCTGTAAGACTGACAGAATGATTAGATATTAAGATGCTCAGGGTTTGATGTTTTGGAATAAATAGATTTCCATTGCTTTAATGGTTTTTCAATCAGGCAAATAATTAAAAAAAAAAAAAAACAGGCATTTAAATAGTGTTATCGGATAGAAACCTTCATCTTTCAGACATAAACAAACCTTTAGCTCCTAGGCTTGATAAGGGCAATGTTGCAATCTGCTCAGATTACTCTCTCAGTCTCCAGCTCTTTAAGTATGTAATTTTTGCATCCATGGAGAGTTCCACTGGATTCCCCTTTCTTTTGTTGCTTGATCCTGAGATTAATTGCTGAAGCGTTTGCTCTGCATGACCTAATTCTCATTAGGTATGAATTCTTGGTAATTTTTTTCAAGTTGCCACAGGAGAACAGCTGTTACAGACCAGCAACAACCTGGCACAGCACAGCAGTTCATGAGCTCCTTTGGTTAGCAGCAAGATTTATGRAACATCACTGGAGACAATGTGCGCTTAATTTATATCTCAGAATTAATATCATGAATGATTAAGGAATGATATCAAGGCCACTCTAGTCATCTTTTTGCTGTAGTTTCTGTAAGTAGTAGCTAAATCCTTACTGTCCCCCAACATTTATACTTCCTAAAATACTAGTCTGGACAAGAGTCTAAATAATTTGCCTGCAAATTTGAAAGAGAGGTGGATTCTCTTGATGCAAAGGGCAACTGTGAGACAGCTCCTGAGAAGAGCTTGACATATTAGTTGAAGGGATATACCAGTTACAAGCTCCCAGCACAAACACTTGTGGAGTTTCATTCTATCTGATTCTTTCAGGAAAATTTGGAGAATCTGGTACTGCTTTGAGACACCCTGCCCTGAAGTGTCCACGTTTTTCAGGGACATATGCAGCTCCTAAACTGGCCAATTTCTATACTGACACAGAGGTGATTTACATCCATCACAATGCTGGAGCTCAATCCTGATGAGTGTTAACTGCAGAAAACTGCACAATCTCACATCAGAAGAGGAAGAGCTGCTGTAACACAGATGGATTGCAGTAGAGTAACAAGTGGTCGTGTGTCTGCAGGCTTGAAATAACAGACCATGGGTAAACATTTGCCTTGCCCGTTTCAAGGTAGAATTGACTGACAGCCCCTTGAGATGACGTGACCATCCCCTTGAAATGGTGCTGTGTTCCTTCCTTCCTCATCCATCCAAAACTGTAATCATCCAAAATTGTCAGCCAACCAATATTCTGCTCCTCTTCCTTTTCTATTTTGTTGTTGACACTAGTTTATGCCCTGCACCGATTCTAAAAATATGTATCTGAATCCTTTTATCTACCTCAAGAGACATATTGTACAATGTATAGGTCAAGACCAATGATTTTTTACCTTGTAAGGAAAAGCAAAGAATTTAAAACAGAAGCCAAAAATTCATAACAAGCAGTATCTCTCAAATACAATGCTCAAGTTGCATCCATTTTCACTTATCTTTTTCTTTGATATTACAAAATATTGTCTTTCAACTAACTCTCATAGTCAGAAGAGAGCATGACAGTGCCTGAAATAAAGATAACAAACTGCTAATATTGTGGTTCGTTAACAAACTGAGCAAGTAGCATTAGCAAATTCAACCTGAAAATGGGAAAGAATATGTGCATAAAATCTTAACTAATGAGGAAAAAGTCCTCATAAAAATATACTTCTGGCTATAAACTAACCTGGAAAACATTAATTTAGAATACCTCATGCTTTCAGTTTTTCATCTAAAACACTTCTGCTTTAAAATAACAGGCAGCTTTTTACAGCTTTTTAAATCTATTGTAAATACTGATTTCAAAGAAAGCTTAAAGGAGGACACTTATCTGACAATAACTTTAAAGGCACAAGAAGCCATTCACTGCCTATGTTTTATTAACTTTCAATGTCTATATAGAGCCCAATTGCCTAATGAGTATTTCAGAAAAGACTTACACAATCATAACAGCAATTCTAAAACTCCCTTGGGACTAGAGCGTAAAATGCAAGACATGTTTTCTCCCTTTGACCTGATAAATATCTTTTTCTCTAGCATAAACTGATTTTAAATGAGAAATAATTAAGTATATATATTTTTAATGTTACTTGGCTAAATCTGCAATGAGTGAGGAAATTGTGTTACAGGAACCAGTCTTATCATGCAGTTTAAGCTAAGCAGTAAGTAACCTCTCTGTAATGGGAAATAGGAGTGAGATGTATAATGCATTTCCAGCACTGCTGGGAAAAACAAAATCAAGGACCTTTTCCTCTCTTCTTTTTCACCTTTTCAGGAGATGGGAACATTGCTAGAAGGGGACATTGTCAGTGCAGTGCAACCTTCCCCAAAGGGTGTGATGAGGGCAGGATTTACATCCTTCTCTAAGCACGCTTGGAGGGCAGAATGAGCTTGTTATAGACAGCTGGAAGCATCTTTTGGTCTTACACGTCATTCCACTGGATCCACAGGTTGTCCCAGCCCACCTGCCAGCCTGGTGTCATGAGCCATGGCTTTAAAGCCACACTGTAATCTTTAGTGTTGAGTTATGCAGTAAACTTAGAGACTAGTCTGTGCAAATGTTGCCTTTACCTGGAATAGTCCTGCAAGCTCTTCCTGCCTTTGCGCTTCAAAGATTAGGGATTCAAACCGGCTGAACAGCAGAAGATGAACTGAAATTTGAATATCTGTAAGGATATGTGCAACAGAGGCCCCCTGTACCAATAATGCATATGTTTAAGGCTGAAAAGATTGGTGAATCTAGGCTCTGAAACAAGGAATCTGTATGATCAGACCTACACTCCAAGTTATTTCAACTGACTTTTAAAATTTGTAGTAAAATAAACATCACGGATGACAAGTCAGCAGTCACAAGTACCCTGTAGCATTTGAAGATCCCTCAAAGTGTAGTAATAATGAGTTTTTTCATTGCATCTGAAGGTGCCACTATTCCTTGGGAGAGTAGAGCAGGATGTGTTCAAAATGACTATTTTTTATAGAGTTAACTCCTGAATTCCTCTTGCATGTCTAGGTCTGTTCTGTAACCGAACGTGGGACGGATGGTTGTGCTGGGATGACACACCTGCAGGAAGAGTCACTGCTCAGAATTGTCCAGATTATTTTCCAGACTTTGATCCAACRGGTACAGTATTATTTCTCATCATACTACCTTTCAAAGGAAGCCTTCAAAATATTCATGCCATTAAATGAAAACATGCTTCTAAAGGCATTTTTGTGACATAGTGAAATCTCGGAAAGTTTGTCTGAAACAGAAACATATGCAGTCACTGCTTGCATAATTTAATTAAAACCAAAAAGATTTAAATATTTTTACTTTTTATAAATTTTACCTATAGATTTCTGGAATATATTTTATAAAAATAATACCTGCTAAGTAGAAATATTAAAAGAATTGTAAAACTTAATTTTAAATTCTCCTAATAAAGAGCAAACACTGAAAATAGTCTGTGCATGAAATAATTATCAGCATTTTCTCTCTTTTTTTTTTTTGATAATACAGTTTTATGGAAGAAAGCAAACAGAATTAATGTTCTTACTTTCTGAATGCAGATACTTGCAGCCTTTTAGACTAAGAGAAGTAAATCGAAACATTTACAAGGGAAAATGAAAGAAGTAATCAAAGACAGAAAGGCTGATAAATAGCTATAAGGAATTATTAGATACAGTTAAAACATCACAAATCATATTATTGCTTATGGGCCATGTCTCATGCTACACTGTGTTCAAAAAAGTATAGACAAAATGTGCCAGTTGCAATAAAAATATTGTAGGGGACATATAAATCTAATTATCTTCAATGAGATTTAAAAAAAAAAGTTACATGCCATATTGGAAAGTAAATAGCTGTAAATTAATGTATTAATTATCCAGTCTAATCATTAAACTATTGGTTCTAGTGAGCTTTTTGCCTGTTTAGAAACAGAATTTCCATGTTGAATCAGATCCAGCACATATGTAGTTGAATCCAATTTGTAGTAGCAGACAGATTTGCCAGTTGTTCTGATCTTATTTAAGCTAGCCATGGTTAGAGAATCCACCCAGCAGGCAGGATACTTCAGTATCAGTCTCAGTCTTCATGAATTCAAATCTTCACTTGGATGAAGGAATCTCCTCTTTTCCACTGAAAACAAACACTGCACTGGAAAGGATCCACTGTCCTGGAAAGCGAGCAAGCAAAGTTGTGTGGGAATATGCTCATAGAGGAATATCCTGAAACCTATGGCACGATTCATACAGAGACTAACAACCTAAATAAGATACCTCATGAGCATTGAATCATGTCTTTCCTTGTCTTTTACGCCCTTCTTACTTGCTGACATACTTGGCCTCAAACTCTTTTCTATACATTACCATAGTTTCTAAAAGGAGGTTGAAGAGTCTTACCATGGGGTCAACCTCACACATTAATCCCTGGTGCATCCTGATGAAAGCTGAGACCCATCCAGCTAAGGAGAGCTTTTCAGTCACATCTCCATCTCCACAAACAAATGCTTTACCCAGTAGGCAAAAAAACAAGGTAGTGCTAAGAGTCCTGGTTTATGTATAGCTGTGTAGCTGTTTAACCTAGTAGCACAAGCAGGTACAGGACAACTGTGAAGCCCCAGAAGTCTCTCGCAGCTTGTAGATCATCATCACATGAAGAATGAGGGTGATTATAGAGCAGCTCTCCCCATTGTTCTCAAGACAGCTATTACTAGCTCCTCTACCCATCTTCTTGTCTCCAAATCCTTGTTCTGAGTCAGTCTCTCCGTTACATCAGCRCTCTGCAAAGTAACGCTTTAAACCCTACGTACAGAAGCACCTTACTCTTCCTATTAATGCATATTAATGTTGAGGTCTGTGACTCATCCAACTGACTGCAAATGGCTTCTTAAGCACTTTCAGAAGTGCTGCAGAGTCCAGCCTTCTTTGGGTAGCTCCTATTGTTATTCTTTCTCCCATTTTTTAAAGCTTGCATATTTTATRTATGTATATTTACTTCTTGTTATGAGAACCACAGTGGGAAAACAAAGCCTCTAGTATAATTTCCTGCTATTTTTGCTGCTGTCTTATTTAGGAACAATATCTGCATTTAACATATGGACATACTGACAAACACTGTAGTATCTGCGTTTTTCCACCGACACTTTTCTCTGTTCCTTTGCCAACATCTGCCTCTTCGCCGGTGTCTTGATCAATAGATGCTGTTTCCGTGGCACAACAGACCTGCTTCGGATACAGTCACTTTCCTAGAGTATCTATTAAGCACCTCAACTCATAGTAGATCCACTGCATAAAAGCAGCGGGTAGTCAGTGTTGGCTTCACAGGAGTCTGATTGTCACACAGGGACATAATAAAGTAGGAGGGAGACAAAACCATGTGGTGACTTGAAATCTTTCCACTGCTAATGAAAGTGGCTGCCACTTAGAGGTGACCAAAAGCATACGWTCAACCATCCTGTGAAAAATCTGTCAGATTTTGTATCACAAGTCGTTATTTTCTTTGGTAACTTAGGCATGTTATGCAAAATACAACTAGAAGAAACAGAAATTTATTCCTAAAGAACAGTAGTTTTACAAGATATAAAGTGCAGTGCCCGTCAGATTTTCTTCTCACTAGGGCTCCGTGGTATCAAACCACTTCAGCGTGTATTTTAGACATGCAAATACTAGACAAACTTCAAAAACAGGTTTTTTATACTATGCTGCTTTGGGTTGTACTATCTGCAAAGCCAGTATGTATCAGATCACTGACATCTAAGCTGCTTTTGCCTGTGGCCATGTATAACTTCTTTGAGTTAGAAAAAAAATTCACTTCCAAGATTTATTTTTGCACTTTGATACTTATTTCATTCATAACTGGAAAAGTGAACCAGATCTGATCCTCCAGGCCATATGAACCTGTGAATGTCCCTTAACAGACCTATATATCCAAACCCTCAATAGCATATACTATTGATGCCAAGAGGAAATTCTTACAATATGTCAGAGAGTAAATAGGATGAAATCATATTCTGGAGGGAGTTGTTACAGTATGTTAGAAAGTAAATAAGGTGAAATCATATTCTGACAAAAATGGCCCAGGAGCAAAATGAGAGCCACAGTGCGCTGAGTTTTCAGTCCATTTTCTGCCTGACAGCTTCATAACCAACTCAACCTGACATAATCCCACTTATTTCTCCAAAYTTAGGTTAGTTTGTACCAGATAGAAATCTAAGTTCAGGAATAGCAAAGGATCACTGTAATACTCTCATCTGTTTAATGAGCTAGGGGTTCCTACACACTTCTTTTCCTATCTGATGCAGATCTATTTCATGAAAGAAGATTAGAATCTTAAAGGAAACAGACTTACAGAAATCCTCCCGTACAAGCCAGGACACCTGTAGCCTTTTGTGGTGATCTCTTTCTCGCAGTGACCATCTTGTGCAATGTAATAATGCATTAAAAAAAATCAATGTTTTGGGAGAACATACTGAGATCTACTGGGTTAACTCCAGTGGCAGCAGGAACTTCATCATCTCATCCATCCCTGTCTGTGAATCTCTGAGCAGAGCTGGGTTTTATACTCCCATATCCATTCTACCTCATACACAGTTTCCTTTGAATTATATTTTATATTTGTCTTTTATCCAGATTAATCTTTGTTGTAATTCCTCAGATAATTCTTAGTCATGCTGAAATTGATGGGAATTGTATTTAATAGGAATATAGTGCATAATTCATTCGGGTAATATTCTTSCTAATAAAATAATATTAAAATAGATCATGAATATAATGGTCTTCCACCAAGATGGATTTACTGGGGGCATTATGAGGTGCCCCATGCAATGCCCAGGCCCTTTGCTTTATGGAAGCATAATTTTATATTGCCCACCTCACTATCTGAGCTTTCCACTCATGGTCAGGGTGAATTTAACGCAATCACACAAAGCAGTACAGTTTCTTGCACAGAGTTCATTATGATAGTCACACCTTTTCRCTTCATTTTCAGTCCCTTTCCTCTCCTGGCAGGGTACATGTTTAAGAGCAGTAACCATCTAACACAGAACCAGCCTGCCTGGCTTGCAGGCAGGGACTTGATCTAATGATCCAACTATTTTTACCAAAGCACCATTCAATTCCCTACTTCATTGGGTTTATTTACATCTTTGATTTCATATTGCAAACTAATTGCTCATAACTCTCCTTGTGGCTCCAAGAAAGAAGTTTTTATGGTGACAGTTCAAAAACAGGCCTATATATGTACCCACAAACAATTTCCTCAGAGGAGGATTAATATTTTGTTATCTCTCATGACTGAAAATCAGAGGAGCCTTATTGTATTACCCTATCACTGGTGTCACGGAACGAGTGGTGRCAGGGRCGAGTGACAAAATGCACTTCACTCAAATAGAGAACKAACGATATGATTTATTAGTATAATAATGATTTCACGAGATTCTATGGCAAGATCACTCTATTATTTACTACATGGAGGCACAGATAATACAGGATTATCTTGGGATACCCTCCCGTTGAGTCACGAGGTTCAGATTGGACCCCCTTGCTTTCCAGGCTCCGAGAGGAGTCTGGGTGCGGCTGAATCCAATCCTAGTCCCAGACCTGGTCAACGGTTTATGACTGAGGGTGCTTATGTTACAAAGTAAAGTTAAAGAGAGAGAGAGAGAGAGAGAGAGAGAGCAAGCAAGGAAGAAAGAAAGAAAGAGCGCTATATTCACTTACCACAAGTCTGCGGTGGAAAGGAAGATCTCTCGAGGAACCTCGAGGAGTAACCTTGAGAGGCGTCCCTGCCCAAGGGGAGATCCTGGTGTGCAGGCCGCAGCCGTGTCAGGAGAGCTCAAAGGGGCTCTCAGGCTGTCCGAGTATTTATGGAATAAGATGATTGGCTTGTAGTCATATTTTTAACTTCAAAGACTTAGGTTAGTGTGTCGGCCTTAGCTCCCTGTTTACGATGTAGCCTTGAGGACTGTTTTTGTTAAGTCTCAGTGAGAASAGAAATCAGGACGATGGCGCCTGCCAGAATTAGATCGGTCGCTGGTGGTCAGCAACAAAACAGGGCTGCATGTAAGGTACAGGCCAGGATGAGCTGGGAAAGGAACGTATCYGTCACAGCTGGCTGGAGGGAGAGATGTCCATTCAATCTGCAGCATGGTGCACTCCCTACCTTCCCTGGCTCTGAGGAGCACCCTGGCAGCAGAGATGGCAAAGACACAGGCTGTATTTTTCTTCACTGTCACTCTCTTCTTGTGCTGTTTTGCAGTCTCCAAAACTTATTATCTTCTATAAAAATATCTTTAGAGAAGGATAAATATCCCATGCAGGAGCTGGAGAACACACTGAGTGATTCTGATGAATCGTTCTGGATATAGCAGYGGTGACACCAGGGACTGGATATGGTGGTCACAGACAGGTCCTTTCCTCAGCTGGCAAAATGCACAAAGCTGAGTGAGATACAAAATGACAGGCATAGTCATTGCAGATGGGAAATCATGAGCGTACACAAACCAGAAAGAGAGAGACCTCCTGGTCCACAAGCCATGTCTGAGAGCTGGCAGGAGGCCACTTTCCCAGGTATTTCCTACTGCAGGCAGCATCCTAACCGCAGCCCCCCAGCTAGCAAACCCATTCCAGCGTGCCCAGTCCATCCCACTCTCCTTCTCACTGGCATGTCCCGGCACAGCGACAGGTCTGTGTTTGCAGCCAGGCTGGAGGCTGGAGGAAGCAGCCTCGGGTGCCCGGGTGCCCCAGGGACCTGCTGCAGTGAACTAAGCCATGCAGGGAGGACTGTGCCATGGAGAGCCCTTCCCTTCCTGCCCCAGAATCTGCTCTGCTAAAGACCTCTGAATTTCCACAGATCCTGTTTTCCTGTCTTCCGGTGACGTCATTTGGACAGTGATAAATAAAACAAATCTGTTTCTTCAGATGGATTCTTTGTCCAGCTGCTTCTTTTTCCAAATCACCTTCTGTGCATTTCTATCCTGCTTCTTAGCCAACTTGTTAGCTATGTTTTAAACATAATTTCTTTCCCCACTCAGTGCACAGCATGACTCTATTATACAGATTCCAGTTCTGCTGACTGAAGCATTTTGATAATATCACTCTTCAGTTATAGGGCCCTGCAGCTGAAGTTTTCTAGGAGCTCCATTGTGTTATATCTATTTTGCTGCTGCTGTTGTTGTTGTTTTGGAATAATTTCTTCTGGAATATTTTCCTGAGAATATAAGTAAGTCAGATGTGCTACAGAAGTATCAGCAATTCCTATTCCTCATCTGCAAAACTAAGTAGTAATTGGATTTATCCAAGGAATAGCAAACAATCTGATCTCTGGTATGTGCTGAGCGTGTGTTGCAGCAGCAGAAAACTTCTGTTAGCTATGAAGGTATAACTGAACAATAAGAAAAAAGTGTCCTTTAGCATCTGCTAGCCATTGAGCTACTCTAATTGTAAAAAGATTGATTGATAGACTTTTCRTACTTATTGAGGTAAAATATTTGCTCTATATCAAAATGAGTTGTTTTGTATGAAAATATGATTCATAGAAGTATTATTGGTAGCACAAACCCCTTGAAAAATTATTGTTACTGGTTAATGTTTTTGAACATTTTAGTATTCCCAAGAAACTGCCATTATGGATGAGATTTTTCTCATCTGATGCCCAGAGAACTCTTGAATTTTCTGTTATTCCAAGGAACTGCAGAGAGCCTGCAAAAATACTTTTAAGCAAATATATGATTTAAGGTGCTTAAGTCATGTGAGATGAATGCCACGAAACATCACAATTCCTACACTCTGAATATGATACCCAAGTGATCCAAGTTCATAGGGCATAGACACAACCTAGGAGATTAGTGTTCACACAGTATGTTAATAATCGTGGAACACATACTTATATTTTGCCTTGATTATACTGTCTTGTCCTTACACATTTGTGTATTTCTTCAGAACACAATACAGCTTCATCTGTAAACTTTTTCAAAAGTCAGTCCTACTGACTAAACCCATCGTATGTCAGGATTACCCTGGGTGCAGGAGACCCAGGCACCCAAGTCTGATGGTCTTTATTTATCATTTTCCAAGAGCACAGTAACATAAAAAATTGTCTTTTCATCATAAAGTTTAGCCAGTGCCATTTATCAAATTAACTAGCATTCTAGGAAGAAATTAAAAAAAAATCTGTGTTGTGTTCAGCAAGGCTGTCACAGTCCCATACTGTGATAACATCTGAGTAAGAAATCAGTGGRCTGTGGCAACACCAGCAGCTTCCAAACTAGGCACCACGATATGTCTGGATTCACAGAAAAGTATGAAGCAATAGATTTACCTCTAATTTACTGAGGTCATGTTAAGCTAAGGCAGAAAGCCTACCTAGACATCAAAGTACAGAGATGATAGATGATACCAGCGTTATGCTGTATAGCATATTACCAACAGGCATGTACATTGCACAGTGCATAGGATAGTAGGTGAGTGTTTGTACACTGTGTTCCATGGTAGCATAACCATTAATCTTTATCAGTGACTGAAAACTTTTTCCAGCTTTAGATAATTTCTGGCAAAGAGTACAAGGGAACTGCACAGGCAGGCAAAGATAATCTCCAAGCTGAAGTGATGGTAGCCTGAGATAACATGTACTGTTCCTCTCTTCATTCATGCACGTATTGATTTGCAACAATTTTTCCCCCCCAAAATGAGTTTTAAACTCACAGTAATTTCTACAGCATCCTATTTTCTGGGTGACTAAGTGGTSCCTTTTTCTGGCATTGGTGGTGCATGCAATTTATTTCTAGTCAGAGGAAGGTAGCACATCTTATATCAACGGCATTGTAATCGATAGCTTTTCTTAATTAGGTGTAAAGAGGGAATAGGAATCTTCCAAATTAATATCATAAATCATCTGAACTGTTTAAGAACTATAAAGGCACATCCTGAACAGAAAAAAAAGGCAGTTGTCTCTGTAGAAGTATTGAGACTGTAAATATTAATATGATATGTATAGAACCAATACAGTTATAAAGATGATATAGGTGGAGGGAAGTCAAAGTAGAGTTTTTGTTCTTTTATATAAAAAGTCAAATTTGAAATGCTGTATTTTTCATAAAATATCTGAACCACTATCTACGAAAACATCAACTGCTAACATTTCTTATGTGCTTCCTGCCTTCATCACTCAGGCAAACTTTTCAGTCTCCCATGTGGCCGAGGTTTGAGTAAAGGCCAAAGGACTGAGTCCAAATTTTGACAGGTGATTAGAAGTGACTGCCTGTGCTTCGGCTTCCATGGTTTCCCAGACAGAAATATATGCCTGGCTGAGAGGACACATGTACAGCCCACATGTGTGCTTCCAGACAGCCTTCAGTCCCGTCACAATGATATATTCCTGCGATCCTTGGAGTCCCTGTACCACAATAAAAGGACACGTGCAAAGAAACATGACTCTGATGAGTGATCTGTACTGCGTGGCTCTGTGAAAAGATGTCAGAGTGACCTGTGGTGCAGAAGTCAGCCCTGATGCACATGTGGAAAGGCCCAAAACACACCAGTTTATTCAGTGTCTTCTTGTGAGTTAAAAAAAAAAAATAAAATAAAATAAAAAATAAAAAATAATAAAAATAAATAAGAAAAGAATCCAAAAAATGCTAATTTATATGCTAGTCAGTGGATRTATCCATTTTGCAATATTCTTAGTGTAGGCTCTCATGAAAACTGAACATATGCAGACATCACTGTGTTTCATATATACATCTAGTACAAGCTCTATATCTGAGCTTAACATTATTATTTCTTCCATAAACAATTATAACAGCCTCTTTAAATTAATTATTATCACAGATCACATGATTGCTTCTGAACGAAGTCTTAGATTTATAGTCTACTGCATTCATTCAAGACCAAAGGAAGCAGATAAAAGACATATAAATCCAATGTCCATATAAAGTGGACGTTGACATAAATCTCTGCAAACGGAAACAGAAAGATATATATTAATTGGACAAGCTGAAAATCCTGTAGTTTTTCTTACACAGGCTTTTATTTACAAACATATTATTTCTTTTTGATGAATACTTAAAGGCATAATATGCACGTGCTAAAATAACTGTTATTGCAATTTATCTTCAGAAAGGGCTTCAAAGTATTGTGATGAAACTGGAAACTGGTTCCGACATCCTGAGAGCAACCGAACATGGTCCAACTATACTCTCTGCAATTCTTTCACCTCTGAAAAACTGAAGGTATGCTACAAGTTAAAAAGARAGTCATTGTCTGAGAATGGTTTGGGGCTGGACTAGCTATAAGATACATATGAGAGAGGTCAGAATAGCCCTCGTCAATCAACTTTATTTGTTGCACAAGAATTTAAGATCATTGTCCTTGAGATTCTAACTTATTAAAATTATTTGATGAATTATCTGACAGGGTGGATACTTTAGTAATAATTCATATGACCAATTATTTGACCAGTTTTGTAGTATTTTTCAAATGCATTTTTAATTATTTGTCATTGTCCAACAGTTATGAAATGATCCTTTAAAAATTCATTTTTGCTTTCTTTAACATACATCTCCCAAACTGTTGATGTCTTCTCTGCACCAATGCAAATTTTAACATAATTTGAAATTATTTTTTATGAACAAAGAGTATAACCCTATGCTTACTCTCTTTGAAAAGAAATATTTGTGAAGATACCATTATGGCAAAAATCCTACAAGCCTGAACAGATTTAATTTTCACAGTTTGATTGAAGTCAATGAGATTACTTACAGTACGAAATTAAGCATTTGCATCGATAGTTCCAAAGTCAAATTGCTCAGCTGAAAGAGGAGAACTGAGTATAAAAGCACCAAAAGAAACAAGGAAAGAGAAATCTGAGAAAAGCTTTGAAAAATTAAGTTAGGGAAGCTTGTGAAAAAATAAATATATTTCTGAAATATGAATGGAGCTCCAGGAAAATCTGATTGTAGATTCATGACAGAATAATTTGTGACTCTTTGGAAATGTGTAAGGAAAAGAGTCAGAAAGTGACTTGATTTGGGGTTGGTGTTTGTGCTGGCGAATTTTTATTTACCCAACCAAAAGCCAGTCTGTGGTTATATTTAGTAATGATCCAGCTTAAAGTGCCTTGGAAGAGGATGTTGGACTAGATGGGAGGTAAATTCCAAAAGTTTTTGAGGCATGAGGACCTTCGGGTTAAAAAGGGGTTCACCTGTGTAACAAGGAGAGAATAATAGTAACAACCTGAGATCACAGAGGCATTAAATGGAAACACCATAAAAATATATTTTTTCCAGATGTTGGCCCATATGGAGATGAAAAAATGTAGTTCTGTTACCTATTATTCATGCCTTCCAGAAGAAGAATTTTGGACATTTTTCAAGCAAAGTGGAGATAGAACACAAAGGAAAATTAGACGTACTTTGAGATTTTTCTGAAACAAAAAATAATGGAAAAAAGCAGTAAGAATCTGACTTTACAGTAATGCCAAATTGAATTTTGACCTTTWATCCAAACCTTCAAAAATCAGGAATATGTTTGAGTTCTAGGTTATTTTCATGTACCTGCGATAATTTAATTAACTGAGTAGGAGGCATTTCTTTTGGAGAATTCTCTTTTCTCAAGTGAAGAATTTGAAGGAAAAAGCAACATTCTAGTAGGGGTTTTTAGAAGTTTTTCAAGCCCAAGGTGAAAAAAAGATCTGCATAAACTATAAAAAATCATGCTATAAATCCTATATGGCAGAARAGATATGAATGATTGATATTTTAAGGAATGAGACGTTGACATAACAGTTTCTTATTTGTCTGAAGTTGGTAACAAATATCAATAKCAAATATCAATATGCTGTATTTGTGAGATAGATTATTTAAAAAATATATCACAGCTTTAAAAAATGCAGTGATATACCATATTCTTTATTATCTGACAATTTAGTCCGTTCTGATCTGCCTTCATTATTATTTCTAGAAATATTTTTTGAAGCTTGAACATTTACATGGAGTAAACAAAAATGCTATTGCTGAGTGCCAGGTATCGAGTTAAAATGATTTCATGGTTGTAGTGGAAGATAGTATGAATAGCTACAGTCTTCTGTGATGCACACACGTATACATATACATATGCATTTAATTATCCAGAAGCCTCTATAGCTGTTTCAGACAACATAAAGATTATTAACCATTGATGTGTAAATAAAATTCAGGCTTGGAAATTGTATTCAATTTAATATAGAGAAAAACTATAGCAACTATTTAGTATGCAGTGAAAGAAATGTCATGTGCACTTGTGTTTAAGCAACTCCTGCTACTCCGTGTTTGGAAAGTTGTCTTGTATTCACTGCGGTCTGGTTGACCCTCCCTGTAGTAGGTGGTGATCCTAGAAGAGCTTGTCAAGAGGTCAGGCTCATTAGTGATATTGTGGTTAGTCTGTGCAGAGGAAAACTTGTAGACATAAGAGTTTTTCCAAATAAAATTCATAGATTTCCATAATTTTGTAAATGGTATTTATATGCCCACTCTATAGACCACGATGGTATAAATGTGGTTTTGGTGGAAATATGAATCAGGCTACCATATCATCTACATTAATGAGAGCAGGAGCTGATTCCAAAGTTGTAAAATGGCTGAAGAACAAATCGGGTAAGACACTTTACATCTATGCTAGGAAGAATAGATTTTTTTTCTGAATTTTATTCATCCCTGTTTCCAATTGAAAGTTTAAAATGAGTTGGAACCTGGAAAAAAACACAAAGATTGTAAAGCTCAGGACTGCAAAAAGCAATTAGAAGCTAGCCAAATATTAACTGAAGATGTCTGCACTGAAAGAACTGCATTAAAATATGCCTTTCCCCCTTCTTTCTTCTCACAGAAAAGAATCAAAGGTGGAGGAATATAAAAACAGTGCTTAAATTGCTGCAGTAGTACTTGCAAGCTTTTCAGGGAGGAATGTGATGCTAAAGGGATTTATGTAATCATTGACAAGAAAAATAGCCCGTGCATAAGACAAGAAAAATGAATGAAAGGAGCTAATGAAATCAACCCAGCAGAGGAGCTAAGACCTTGTATCTAGTAGTCTCTTCAGTATGGGCTGATAATATATTAGTGCTCTCAGAAGAGAATGGCAAAGCCTGGCGTGCTGTTAGCCTCCTGCAGCCTGACAGCTGGATGATGGTTAAGAGCTTGGCTGAGACCAAAATACAACATTTAAATAYCGCGGTGTTCTGCAGCCAAAGTGCTGCCCTACAATTTTGTTTCACCATTGGCATACAAAATATGGACACACACATCTTATATTTYGGTGATATTTGCTAAAGTGAGAGTCTGATTCTTTGTTTATAAGCAACATTTACTGCACAATGATTTGGATTTGTCTCAAGAACATGATTTGTCACAGGGTCTGTTGTTCTAGTGTGGTAGGAGCTGCATAATAGTCTTCACCATTCATTGCTTTCATGATTTTGTGGACCTCAGCTGTAAGACTCCTTTGATTTCTTCTTTCCAAGTGGCAGTTATAGCCACTCATCTTAATGCAGCTGCTCCATCCCATTAATTATTTCAGTTGCCTTCCTTGCACCTTGTTCATTTCCATTGTGTCCTTCTTAAGGTGTGAAGATCAGAAATACAAAACTATTGCAATGGTTTTGCAATGGTTTGCATTGGTTTGCAATGAATGGTTGCAATGGTTTGCATTCCCATTGCAATATGGGAATGACAAATTTTAAGCAGTGGCAAAATGTTCTTCTATTCTCAGTATTTGATTATGTCTTACATTTTGTTGACGTTTTGGCACTCACCATGCATTGACCAATGATTCAGAACCGACCAGGATGGCAACAAAATCTCCTACTGGGTTTTACTTGTCAGTCCTGGGTTCAGCATATGTGGACTTAGGTTTAAATTATTTGTCCCTACATGCTCACATTCATATATTTTGGAATCCAGATGGTACTCTGAGCTCACTTACCTTTTTGAGACTTTTCTGAATTCCCTATTATCCAGAAGAACTGTGCAAYGTGTAGAAACTTAAAGATTTCTCTGCACCTTGCTGTCATAGGTCATTGAGGAAGATCATCATGAAGATATTAAAAAAAAAAAAGCCTCAATACAAGTCCCAGAGGTACCTCACTGCTGACTCATCTCCATCCCCAAAGCAGCCGTTAAGATATTTATTCCTCTTTGTTTAAGCAGATTTCAGACTATAAAATGACCTGGCAACCTGTTTTCTTTAATATTTTTTGCGATGGAATCTTATCAAGGGCTGTTTTGAAAATCCACATAAGTTCTGTCCACTGTGCTGACTTAAAGTTCTAGAAAGTTCATGAGTCACAGAGTTAACAGCAATCTTAGTGGCTTGAGTGCAAAGAGCAGAAACAGATCAACTTATATAAGAAACATCTCATCTGTAGACCTTAACTATTTAATGTGTTACAGGCATTTAAAGTATATTGCAAAAGAATGTTTGAAAGTAAAGAAATGTAAAACAAGAAGTTGATTGTGTAGATTCTACCTTAGTGAGAAATGAGTGCCTGCAAATTGTTCGTTTGCTTTTTTTTTTCTTTTTGTTACATTGCAGATGGCGTTCATACTTTATTATATGGCGATCGTTGGCCATGCTTTGTCTATAACATCCCTGTTGATTTCCTTGGCAATTTTCTTCTATTTCAAGTGAGTGTTTTTTACAGACTCTGTTCATTCTCGGAGGGATCTTAAGCAAAGAAAAACTTGGAAGGGGATATGACAATGAAAAGCAGCTCTTCTTAGAACATTTTTATATAATCCTGGCAAAAAAAAAGCAACATCACAGAGTCACCTCACCAAAGCGACATCTATCAGTGGTGTGCAGCAAAGAGCAAGCTGTTAAACTTGTCCAGATTAACATAAAAATGAGAAATGGTGGGAATGGGAATGCAGTAAACCTCCTTCTTTACCAGTTGCAACAAAACACCACATTTCTAACATATTAAGGTCTCTGATTATTTCTTTTCTTTTTTTTTTCTCAAATCATGTGAAAAGTTGATATATCTAAATCACACTCTAGTCACAGAGGATTTCTCAACAGTAGTCACAGTAAACACTTCTATAAATTAGATGACGGGGGAGATGACTATGGGGAAAATATTCAAGAATAGCCACTTGGCAAAGCCCAGAGTCATTGTGCACAGAGAGCTATGAAGCCTGGGATAAAATACATTCTTCTTGTAGCTCCTAGGTAGTCATTTTGTAGTGTTACACTTCCATTACTCTATTATAAACTGTGAACTGCCAGGACTGATAGCACACTTTAGAAGTTGTTGTTGTAAAGCCCGTTTCCAGATATTCTGATGCAACAGAATAACAAAGGTAGGATTTTTTTTTTAATTCAGTAAAATGACCCAGTTGGGGAGGTATTATTTATTTCAGCAAAGATACATCAGTTGTCTGCAGAAGGCCAAATACTTCATGGGCAGAGAGAGGGAAATGCTCACTATCAGTAGAGGTATGGAGACGGTAACCTAGCCTGTCTTTCAAGTTATTTCAAGTTAAGATTGTTGATTATGCCAGAACACAGATATACCTGCCTGCAGATGACAAACTGTCATGTCATTTTTAATATACCTAGTCCTGGGATGTGTCTGGAAAGTGATTTTAAAGCAGCCATAGAAGTTGTTTTGAAAGACTTGTTCAAAAAGATGAACAAGTCATCAAAAAGATGAACAAGATGAGGTGAATCTTATGACAAGAATCAGTGAGCAGAGGAGGAGAAAGTGGTTAATTAGGGGAAAACATGGGMAATAGGTGATTTTGGAAGGTAATGACAAAAGTAATTTCAAGCAAGGGAGGAAAGGGCCAGTTAAACAGGGACCAGTTCACTTGGGGTTGCAGTTATTTGAAACTTTTGCTTTGAGGAATAATAGCTAGAGAGAGMTAACAAATGATGTTTTCAGAAAGATACTCCAGGCAAGTCAGCAGCTTGTTTAACTTCTTTGGTGTTAAGCTAATTTACAGTAGTTAAGATTTTGGCTTTGTCTCTTTAATGGACAAATTAATAGAATTACACAGATACATGAACAAAATTAGATTTAAATTTGCACATTCTTATTCAACTGTAACATGACTAAATTTGTTCAGTATTCGAAACCAAATAATCCAAAGCACTGGATGGATTCAGTTAATTAGTGTGGAGATATTTTTATTTCTAAAGTAATTAAAATTAGCAGATAGAAAGAAAGCTGAGAAGGTAGGAAATAAAGTGCTCTAAGGATAGAAAAATGCATACTGCAAATRATACTTCAAGGATGACAGACTTTTGAAGAAACTTTGTTACAGGTCAGAATTTGTTCCCCATACAGAGAAAGTAAATAGTGCAGAAACCAGACTGAGTGGTTTTATTATTTTGTTTTCTAGGAAAAGCTATACCCCTCATAGCAGACTTTAGTTTTCAGACACAGCCTGATCCTATAAGAAGGTGCTGTGTGTTATCCCTGCCCCCCTACCTCTAATGCRGGCCAGGTTATTGCAGTCAGATACTACAGTAGTACTAAGATCTACTAAGCATCAAGCTCTGACAGCCAAGCACCTCATACACAAGGGCAATGAACTGCTGAATTGCGTTCTCGTCTTTGTAGAAGGTACAAAGCATGAAAGCGCAGGCACATAAATGTTTCGAGAAACCTGGGAAGAGTAAAATTTAATCTGATTTGAAATCCTATACCCAGGACTCAGAGCTGCGTGGAAGAGGAGAAACAGGATCTGGTAAAGCTGCTATTCAGAATGATCCCAGCAGGTGACCATGTCTTAATGAGACCTTGCAGCTAGGTAGGTGGGGACCAGGCTGCCTGACTCGCTTGTCTGCCTGAGTCATGGGCAATTCCCAACCCTGGTCATTCCCAGGCAGTGCCAAAAGACTCATTTCTGTGAGAGACTTCCTCTGACAGGCACACACCTCCTCTTCTTCTGCCCACTCCACTTCTCCTCTCCCTACCGTGACTATTCCCTGACAGAAAGATTATTGGGAGATGGGAAATTAAAGAGGGAACCCAACCAAGATTGTGAATAAATGAAAAAATTGAGAATCAAGCTATATGGGAGTGGGCCTGATGATATATTCAAATGTTTTCAATTGTCTGGATAGGACCATGATGGATTATTTGACCTTCACTAGAAGGTAGGCTGTCAATCAGACGATCAATCAGACAGCAACTTCAGGTTTCAGAGCTGTGCACCATAGTCTTTGACTGTAAATGCAGCAGCTTACAGAGTCTGCTGTTTCACCATGTGAGAGAAGACTCTTATTTTCTTTTCAGTTTTTGGATATCAAGATTCATAATGATTTGATATCACAGATGTTGCAGTACTTTCAAAAGGGAATACTGAATCACTGAATCAGCAGTGATTATATTAAGCAATACTTACTCGTAGCTGAGTAGCCATAAAGAGGAATCTCTAGTAGTTACATATATCACATTATCATAGCAATATTTTTTACAATTACAGTCTGAGACCCTATTATCTTATATGATAAAATACAAAAGAAAAGAAAAGAGACTCCTGGCACCAAATTGTTTTTAACTGAATTATTAAAACAAAGACATTTGGATACAGTACAATATGACTAGATTTGCCAGAATAATGATGATGATGTCAACACACCTACTGCACAATTGTTACCAAAGCWTTTAAAGCTGTTTGAAGAAGGGTGATGAAAATAGTTTGTGGACATTTTGGGCAAGTTTTTCCTAGGTTTCCTAGAGGAGCATGGTAGATTGCATGAAAATAATTGCTTGAAAGATAAGCAAAAGACAGGAAGATGAAAAAGAGCTGACTGGCAGTAATAAAAATAGCATTCTGGACATTCATGTGATGACAGATTCACAAAATAGATCTATAAAGAAAATAATGCTAAAAGTACCTTGAAATAGCTGAAATAGAAATTAAATTAGAAACTCAAAAGGTAGGCTGAATCTTGGAAATAGACAGGAGGAGATGTATCKTTCAGATGAAACATAGGAGATGTTGAAAGTCTGAGACACAATGCATAGGGTTGTAGTGACACAGAGAAAGCTGCAAGGGCAAAATAGGCTTTAGACTTGAGTTACTGGCTTGATGATATCTTTTTGCATACTGATTTATAAAGCACAGAAAGGAGCATACAGAAAGTGGTGTATGGGATGAGGAGGATCCTTCAAGAATGCAGGAGTGATTAAGGAGGCAAAAAGAGAGCCAAGAGACCTTAGACAAGAAAATCACAGCTCATTGTCAAAAGCAGAGGGACTGAATAGAATAATGGTTTGGGTTTTGCCAGAGGCTCATGAGAGCAGTTTCATGTGGAGGGCAAGAACAAGAAGGGAGATGAAAAAGACTGGAACTGGGGAAGAGGATTACTGGACAGCAATTTCAGGCTATTTGTTAAATGAGCTAAGAGATGAATAGGAGAAGGAACATGAAAGGAGTGAGGGAAACTAGAGATAAACTAAGCCATGGATGAAGATACAAAATTCAAAAAGATAAAGTAAGTTTCCATTATAAAGGGAGGTCTTGAGAAGGGAGAGGGATGTTAAAGAGTAGACTGAGGCATTGGAGGGGGTAGGATGAGATCAGCTCACTGATGTAAATGGGAAGTATAGACAAGGAGAGTGCACATAGTCTACTCCACATATGGATATGAATATACCATATAGAACCAGACAGGGAAATAAATAAAAGATAAAGAAACATGAAAGAGTGTAGCTGGTCAAATTAGTGTTCCCTGCTTTACAGAGGGTGCATTCTGCATTGACCTGCACACACCTAGCAGCAGAAAGTCACTGCAACCCTCAAAACCAGTCCATAAAAGACTTCTAATGCGGACAGTGAGCGTTTTCTCATGAAAGCAGAGATATTTGCTCTTCTCAGCTGTTCTTTTCCCTTTATTTGCTTGCTTTCTCCCACTGATCACTGAATGCACTGAATACAGACATCCCAGTGCTATCTTGCAGCTCCAGGATTGCTTTTCTGCAGTCCTGGCAGCATCATGCTGAGCTCCTGGCATGGAGCACTGCACAGGTGCTTGAGCCGGTGTCATTAGGGTCCCAGTGCAGATTAGACAGGGAAAGAGTTCAGATTTGAAACTGCAGCCATGATTTAGCTGCACAACAATTCTTTGAACTTTTCTTAGGAAATTCTGCTGCCCACAATAGCAGAAATAATGAAAAAAAAAAAAARRAAAAAAAAATCMGACATTTAGAAAAGTTTTCACAAGAAAACAACCCCTTCTGTTTTGGGATCTCAGTTGGACTCAGAAACATGCAGGATAGCAACCCAAATCTCCCTGAAATTTAAGGGGATTCCGGCCCAAATTTCTCATCCTGTCTCACCACTAATTCCTAAAGTAGCAAATAGTTTTCATCTGAATATTTGAGATACCRAGTCTCCAGGGCCCAATTATTTATGAAGAAGTATTCCTGAGGTTCATTACTTGCATCATGCACATCTGTAAAAATTCTCAGGGTTTTGCTTCACCGCTTAATATCTCKATTACCATGAAATAAAGGAAGGCATCAAGGGCTGAGAATGTGACCGGATGGCTCTTTACAACATGGTCTGAAAAGCATGCGGTACTAAACAGGTGTAAAAACAAAAACAAAGAAATTGTCAGGGGTTATGGCTGCGATGCAAAGCATGTATTTTCCAACTATATCTTGCCAAAAGGCATTCTTGAGAGACCTCTGCCAGAATGTGCTTGTTAAAGTGACATTAGGATGAAAATACTGATTTACAACGTGTGCTAATATTTTTCAGGAGCCTCAGCTGTCAAAGGATAACGCTGCACAAGAATCTGTTTTTTTCTTATGTGCTGAACTCCATGTTTACCATTGCCCACCTCATTGCTGTTGTACCTAATCCAGGCCTTGTAAAAAGGGATCCCGTAAGTACAGCTTGACTCCTCTCTGTCTTGACACACAAGTGGAATTACTGCTGCCTCTTCAGAAACAGGCATCCCCACTCATCAGTAAATGCTAGCCATTTGGTGAGCCCTCCAGCGAGGGTGCAGGTTATGAGAACTTCACTCAACCGTGCTCACTGAGCAATAATAAAATCTTTCACTATAGCACAGGAGGGAAAATCCTCAGACTTTCTGTAACCTGCCTGTCCATATGGACTTGTATGAGGCTCCCATTGGCCTTTTCAACAGCTACCAGACATTTGCCTACAAAGGCTCTATAGGGAGGGATTCACACTGGTCCTCTCACTGGTCCTCTGTCCTTTCTCCCAAGCAAATACTTCCTGCAAGGGCAGGGATGGAGAGCATTCTGACTTCTGATTCTCAAATTCCAACAAAAAACCCCATCTATTCACTCCATTTTTTTCTCCAAAGGTGGTAAATCAAACCAGTAGCTTGGGTCATTCCTGCTAGCCCATGATGCAAATTGTGCCAAGCCATTAACTGATAGATATGTACTGCATCTCCAGGTGTCAGTAACCCAGATCTGACCTGGCTCACTAATGGAACAAATGCATTGTACTTGATATTGTTATTAGCATCTCAGGCTGATATAAAATTAATGCAAGTGTGGAACCTCTGAAGTTGTATCGCAGTCCTGATCAGCTCGCCTCCTAGTCGAATCATTTACTTATGGTTTAGTCATTTATCTGCTTCTAATTTTGAGAAAACAATTAAGCATTAGCACTTGATATTATCAGGTCACATGTGTGTTTCTCAAACATATGCTACCAGGTAAGTAAGCTAATTAAAGCAGGTAATGTATAAAGAGAACATTACCAGTTCCAGGAACCATCTGGAGATTAAAAATAGAAGAGTAAAAGAATAATTTTAAAAATCACACATTTTTTTTCTCCTTTACTGCATACCATCCKATATACTTACCTCATGCAAAAAGTGTGATGAAAGTACATGTGATATTTGAGGATAAAAGGCAGGCGTGTGAATTCAAAATCTTATCTTTGGCTAAGAATACTACTTCCTGATAGCAGAAGTAAATTGTCTGAGTTGAAATGGTTTAAACTAAGTGTTCAAGTTACAGTACTTGTACTCCAAGACTTCATTTAAAAAAAAAAAAAAAAAAAGTTATATTGTAATGTCTTTGAGCTAGATCCTCAGAGGAAGGAACAGGTGATATGCCAATATGTGCAAAGTCTCTCAATATTACTAGAATGAATACCTTGCTCTTTTAGTAACATAATAAATTTGCAAATACTTCGGGAAGAAAAAGGTTGGGAAAGGAAAATGAATCGCCAAGGGCAACTCCCTAACACATTATGATAATCTACATATGATTATAGGAAGAATTAAAGGATTTATATTTAAATGTTATTTATTCTACCATACAGATTCCCTCAATATTTTCATATTACTGCCACTTAACAGAGCAAAAGAAGGCTTTGCAGTTTGCTTTTGTCTAACCCTATTATAACTTCCATTCTGCTAAGTCTATTTGAAGATGACTACTTACAMGTTTTTGTAGATGCTGCATTTATCCACTTTCCTCCTGCATGTCTTCAGAACTTGACAGATTCAAGAATGAAGGTCTTCCAACTCAGACATACACACAAATACAGAAATGTGTTGAAGGAATTTGAAATAGTCACAGATACCCTTTGATTAATGGTGATACAAGACATGAAGTTGGTGGTATTTATTCTGCATAATAATAAATGTGATTCCACCCCAATATCTCCTGCTTTTTCCCTGCCTAAAGTTTCAGAACACAATTTAAATATGCAATACCAGGGGAAAAATACTTACCATGTATATGTACATATGAAGATATCAATCAAATCCATATTATTTTGAAAAAAGAAAGAATTTTCTGTTTTTTAATGAACACTCAAGAGGAAAGAAAGGAGAAACAAGAGAAGAAATTCCAAGACCCCAGATTCTGTCTATATGAAGATATAAAAAGGTGAGACAATCCAAAGCCTTGTTACATGAAGAGAGGTCCTAGCCTCACCCACATGTATTTTGCTGTCACGATCATTCTATTCATGTGAAATGGTAAGTGAGGCAACTTTTTCCATATCCCTTAATTGACTTTTTGCTTGTTTGTTCCTGCTTGCTGGTTATAATTCCTCTCTCTCTCCCTCTCTGTTGGATTTATGTGGAGCTGAAATAATGGAAGAGAAAGAAACTGTGAGTCCAGGTAACTGTATAGAAATCAAGGAAAGAAAAGAACCCAAACAAAACATGCAGAATCACTKAGCAAAAAGAAGCAGGAGCATAGATATGTATATTGCAAATGTTAAGTAAGTTAATTTTTTGCATGTTGTATCTAAACTAACAACTGCATTAAATATACTATTATTACTGACACTGAAATTACAGGAAAGCGTATTATCCATTGCAATCTTAAATGAGACTGACTTTCAGAAGAAGGATGATCTGTGAACAACACATTATATTTTCCATTAAAAAGCCTGGAAATATCTTGCTGCCTATTCTTTTAATATAGTCTGGCACATTGGGTGTGTACCTTTTTCTTTTTCTTTTTCCACAAGCTAGTAATTTTATCACAGCATACTGATAGAAGTGAGGGAAGATAGAGATAATGACTGGAGGGATCTCTCTGCTAATAAGAAACTGAATAATTGATTAGGTAGCACAGAGCACCAGTATAAGTAAGTTTGTAGACAAGACTAAGTTTAGTCACAAATTAACAGTGGCCGGCTGATTGGAAAGTCTTCCAGAAAACCTTTAATAATTCTTACTATATTTTTATCTCTTTGTCCTTCTAATGGAGAGGATATCTGTCATTGTCTTTTTTCCAGGTTTTTCTGTAGTCTCTTTGCCTTTGGTGCAGTAATTTTCTGCTTGCTGCTCACTGCACCTGCCACTGTGTGGGATGAAATTTTAGAACCTAAAGCAGCCCATGTTTTATTACGAGCACCTTTCTCTCATTTTCTCAGCTCGGACAGGCTGGGGATGGGCTGTGCTGAGCGTGGTACAGTGCTTCCCACCAGCAGTGCCAGAAGCCCAGCTCATACTAAGCAGAGTGTGAACAGTTTGATGCTGAGCTCTGGTGGAGCTGGCAAACCTGCTCTTATATCCTGGTGCTTTAAAGACATTAAAGTCTGTAAATACYTTAAAGAGCCTGGGCTATTTTCCAACCCTAACTGATGGCACAGATGCACTTCTCCCTCTACGAGGACCAGCAGTGTGTAGTCCCTTCCTTCTCATACATTTTGCTGATGTTTCTATGGCTGTGGGCATGAGGTAGGGTGACAAAGTGYATCCAGCTTGTCTGTACTGAAAGTATCAAGTGTTCTGAAGAAAACACTAAACTCATTCCAACTCAGCACTGCTAGTAAGACCAATAGCAAGTGAAAAGGAAAGCAAAAAAAGGGATGTCTATTGAAACTGCATTCTGTAAAAATAAAGTTGTGGTGGAAGTAATATTAAAAAATATAGGAGGCTCATGCTCATTAGAGCACTATGAATAGCTTCACAATTGACTAATTCAAGTTAAATCTATGAGTTTTCTAAGAATATTGGGCTTTCCTCCCTATCAGAATAATACAATGGAAATAGAAGATGACCTTTGATGACAGAGGAGAAAATGGTAGTTACTGTGGTGTATGGAGTTGCAATACTGTTGCAATGCTCTCTCCAGACACATGGAGSAGAAGAAGGTGCTCAGGAGTAGCCAGCATGGATTCACCAAGGGGAAATCCTGCTTGACTAACCTGATCACCTTCTACGAAGGAATATCTAGCTGGATAGATGAGGGCGAGTGGTAGATGTGGTCTATCTGGATTTGAGCAAGGCTTTTGACACTGTCCCTCACAGCATCCTCCTGGGCAAGCTCCAAAGGTGTGGGATAGATGTGTGGACGGGGAGGTGGATTAGGAATTGGCTCGATGGCAGGGTGCAGAGAGTGGTTGTCAATGGTGCGGAGTCCAGCTGGAGGCCTGTACTTAGTGGTGTCCCCCAGGGGTCAGTTCTCGGTCCGGTCCTGTTCAACTTATTCATTAACGACCTGGATGAAGGGCTGGAGTGCTCCCTCAGCAAGTTTGCCGACGATACCAAACTGGGTAGAGTAGCTGATAGCCCTGAGGGCTGTGCTGCCATCCAGAGGGACCTGGACAGACTGGAGAACTGGGCGGCGAGAAACCTCATGAGGTTCAACAGGGGCAAGTGCAGGGTCCTGCACTTGGRGAGGAATAACCCTGGACACCASTACAGATTAGGGGTGGACCTGCTGGAGAGCAGTCCCGCAGAGAGGGACCTGGGTGTCATGGTGGACGACAAGTTGACCATGAGGCAGCAGTGTGCCCTGGTGGCCAAGAAGGCCAATGGGATCCTGGGGTGCATTAAGAAGAGCGTCTCCAGCAGGTCAAGGGAAGTGATCATCCCCCTCTACTCAGCCCTGGTGAGGCCACATCTGGAGTACTGTGTCCAGTTCTGGGCTCCCCAGTACAAGAGTGATGTGGAGCTGCTGGAGAGAGTCCAGCGCAGGGCTACGAGGATGATCAGAGGCCTGGAACATCTACCATATRAACAAAGGCTGAGAGAGCTGGGTCTGTTCAKCCTGGAGAAGAGGAGGCTGAGGGGGGWCCTGATCAGCGTGTATAAATACCTCAAGGGAGGCAGTGAGGAGGAGGGGGCCGGCCTCTTTTCAGTGGTGGGCAGGGATAGGACTAGAGGAAATGGCTTCAAACTGAAGCATCGGAAGTTCCACAGGAACTTAAGGAAGCATTTCTTCACTGTGCGGGTGACAAAGCACTGGAACAGGCTGCCCAGAGAGGTTGTGGAGTCTCCTTCTTTGGAGATCTTTAAAACCCGCTTGGATGCAGCCCTGTGCCACGTGCTCTAGGTGACCCTGCATGAGCAGGGGGGTTGGACTCGATGACCTCTGAGGTCCCTTCCAACCTTCGGCATTCTATGATTCTATGATTCTATGACTTCCCTAT